GGGGCAGCTCAGTATGTAGAGCCTGAAATTCTTAATCTCAGGGCCAAGGGTTCGAGCCCCACATTGGGAAAAAGATTCCTGCATTGCAGGGAGTTTGGACTAGACGATCCTCTGCAACTCTGTGATTCTGTGCATCCCAACAGGTCTGCTTCGGCAGAAGCCAGGTGGGCCAAAAACATCATTTTGTCTTGGTGCTCGGCACCAACCGATGGGCTAGCATTACCTGTCCCTCTGACACACTAGCATCCCGTGCCAAAGAGGACAGCCTGAGGGCAGGGTGCAGATGTCTCGCGCCGTATTTTTATCCCACCGCTGACTCACAGGATCAAAGAAAGGGATCAAGATAGCTGGGATGCTCACTGTCCTCTCACCTAATGACACCAAAAGCCATTAATAGCCAGGACACGCTGTTGCTCGTTCCTCCTTCGCAGGCAGCTCTCTCTCAAAGTCCTTGAATTTCAGCCCCCCGCCCTTCCCAAAACTATCAGTCCTTTCGCCAATGCAAAGAGAAGAATATCCTACAAAATGCTAGCGGAGAAGGATAATGCTCTCACTTTCTGCACCTGGGAGAGGGAACCTTTTGTCAACCAGAGGGCCGCACTCCTCTCAGGGAAATCTTCCGAGGGCCACTGACCGGTGGTGGATTGGGCCCAGAGGCAAAGGTGGCTGGGGCAATGGTGCCAATTCTGCCTCTGTACAATAGTCACGTTTTTACAGACACCGCTACACGCCTCTCCACTTTCTATAATCCAGTGTTCCCAATCTTGGGTCTCCAGCTGTTTTGGGACTACAGTTCCCATCATCCCTGACCACTGGTCCTGCTAGCTAGGAACGATGGGAGTTGTAGTCCAACAACAGCTGGAGACACAGAAGCAAGAAACCTTACTGGAGTCCAAGGACACATTTCAGGCAGGCAGAAACACTCAAGGAGGACATGAAGCAGGGCCAAGCAAGAGAGGACCAGAGGACCAGAGAGGGAGGTTTGGGGGCACATTCAAACCCTGGGCTTGGAGGTTAAGGCTATTGATGGCTACTAGCCGCAATGGCTATACTCTGCCTCCCCAGTGGGCATCTGATCGGCCGCTGTGAGAGCAGGATGCTGGGCCAATGGGCCACTGGTCTGATCCAGCAGTCAGGCTCCTTATGTTCCTATAGTCATGCTGGCTGGGACTGACGCATATTGGGAGTCCAAGCACATTTGGGGGGAATGCAACGCTGGCTGCCACTGGGAGAGTGTGCATCACATGCATTCCCAGCACTGCATCCCAGACGCGGAACCCAGGGTAAAAGATATGCAGATTGAGGGGTGGGTTTATGCAGATGAAGGGGCTGTGTCATGAAAAGAGGGCTTGCATCTTAACTGTCAGGACCATAGGATAGTAGAGTTGGATAGAACCCTGAGGATCATCTACTCTGGTGTTTTCCAAACTACCAGCACCAGTGTTCCCCAAACTTGGGTCCCCAGCTGTTTTGGGACTACAACTCCCATCCTCCCTAGCTAGCAGGACCAGCGGTAAGGAATGATGGGAATTGTAGTTCAAAAACAGCTGGAGACCCAAGTTGGGGAAACACTGATCAAGTGCAACCTGTTGCACAATGCAGGAATATCCAGCTGCCCCATACAGGGATCAAACCTGCAGCCGTGGAGATATCAGCACCACGCTCTAACCAATTGAGCTATTCAGGAGGCTTAGCCCACTCACGCACCCCAACGGTGTCTTGCTAGCACATCCATAGCTGCCACTGACTTCCAGGAAGAAAGAAAAAGGGGCAAACTGTTGTGTGGGGAGGGGACCCCACAGGAGTTCTGAAGGTGCAATTCCTGCATTGCAGGGGGCTGCTCTAGATGACCCTCTGGGGTCCCTTCCCGCTCGACAATTCTCCGATTCCAAGCTTGCTTTGCTCCCCCCCCCCCCCCGGCTGCTCATTTTACAGCAGATTCTTACACAAACATGCTTTGCTAGCCGTAGTACTGAAATGCCTGCATTGGTCCCGAAGGGATTTGTTTACGGGCTGAGTTTAAGAGACCACCCAAGCGGGGAATCTTTTCTCGGCTCCGGATGATCTCATCTCTTGGCCGACCCTCCCCCCCATCTCCCCCCCCCCCCGTCCAGCCACCAAAAAAAGGCTCGTTCCACCGTTGCATAATTGGATCGGCCTAACACACGCTTTGGGCAGGGCGGGTGGGGGCTGCTTGCCTTCCTGAGCGATGCCTTTTTCGGGCATCTGGTTTTCTTCTCCCTCGGCCACCGACACAAAACTAATCACCGGGAGAAATTTAGAAGGCAAGATTCCCTTCCCAACATTGGGAAGGCAGACGAAAGTGAGAGGCGAGAGAGACGGTGGTGGTGGTGGTGCCGTGGGTTGGGGTGCCAGACTAGGACCTGGGTTCGAATCCCCCTCACTGTTATGACCTGGGAGGCCAGTTGCTGCCTCCCAGCCTAGCCTACCTCACAGGGTTGTTGTGGGGGTTAAATGAGGACTAGGACCCGAGAGACCGGAGTTCAAATCCCCCACTCAGCCACAAAGCTCACTGGGAATGACCTTGGGGGGTCCAGTCACTGCTTCCCGGCTTGGTCTACCTCACAGGGTTGTCGTGGGGATTAAATGATGAGATGGGGAACTACGTATGCTACCTTGAGATCCTTGGAGGGGGGGAAATGTAGGATAGAAAATGTGCCCTGCAGGGCAAGAGGGTGCCGTCATTCAATGCCAGAGCCTATCATGGGTTTTTGTTTTGTGATTTCTTCATTTATATACAGTGGTACCTCGGGATGCGAATGGGATCCGTTCCAGAGCCCCGTTCACATCCTGAATAGAACATAAGATGCGATGGCACGTCTGCGCATGCACGGGTCACGTTTTGCCGCTTCCATGCATGCGGGTGACGTCATTTTGAGTCTCTGCGCATGCACGAGTGGCGAAAACCGGAAGTAACGCACTCCATTACTTCTGGGTTGCCACAGAGCGCAACCCAAAAGCGCTCAACCTGAAGCACATTCAACCCGAGGTATGACTGTACTGTTGTATGAGGCAGCAGCTGCAGCTTTCGGGTAGAGAGGTTATCATCGAAGGCTTAAAAAAAATTACAGCTCAGTTTGAAAGGTCTCCAAGTTGCGGCGAGTTCCTGAGAGAAGCCGCAGCGATCCTCCTGCCTTGACTCACGCACAATACCCGCCAAGCTACCCTTCTCACCCGAGCCTGTTCTGAACATCTCTCTACATCAAAGCCCCCTCCCAGCATCCTGCCACCTTCTTCTCTTCAGACTGTGAACAGAGTGTCTCACCTGTTCAAAACTTTCTTGCGGACAGAGCCTGGAAGATTCTGAGGCGCTCTATAAGCAACAAGTGGGAACTGCGGCAAAATTCCATCCCTGCCTTTTCACGCACACCCTTCCCTCTGCAACCCTCCTATCATTCAAGTTCCATGTTGCAGGTGAAAAGCAGAGGTGCTGGTGGGCACCCAAACCATGCTGCAAAAAGCACCCAAGTTGAGCACCCAAACCATGCTGGGAAAAGAGCCACCCTCCTCCCGACCCGTTTCGCAGCTGCAGAAACCAAAGGCTGCTGGCTTTGCAGTTCCTCGCCTAATACGGCCTCGCAAGGGACATTTTCTCTGCTGAGCTCCCCTTGGGATTCCAAGCCGAGGCAGGAACTTAGCGTGTGACTCCTTCTCTCTTAAAAAATAAATAAATACCAAGTCCACATGACCTGAGCCCCAGGCTACCCAGCGTATTAGCAGGCAATGACATTCCTCTCAAAGCCCTTGTGCCTCGTCTCTCTCTGGGTATCAGTTTCCAGCCTGGTCCATCTACTTTTAAGAAGCCCATTTAGGAGATGCGACTCACTCTTCCTGACCCAATTTTCTTTAAAAAGAAAACGGGCATTCCAGCACCTGTCAGCATCCCCTTGACCTCTGCGGTTCTTGGCAACCTACACCTCAAAGGAGCTCAAATAAGCCAGACCGCTAACACGCTGTCCTTCGTCTACCCCAGACGGTTGTCCTCTGGGGCTGTCTGCTGCAGGAGGAGGGCTGGTGGGTCGCTGAGCATCAGAGAAAGTCCAGCGCCCAAGGCCCAAACAGAAGGCGAATCAACTAAAGGTTGTGTTGATTGATCCAGTGAATGCACACAAGAAAATGCAGCTTATGTTCCTACGCCAGACCATCGATCCGTCTAGCTCAGTACTGCCGGCACCAGTGTTTCCCAAATGTGGGTCTCCAGCTGCTTTTGGACTACAACTCCCATCATCCCTAGCTGGGTCAGATACCTTAGGGCAGGGATGTTTCATCTGAGGAAAAGGCCTTCTCTGTAGGGTCTCTCACTTTGATGGAATTCTCTCCCAAGGGCCTCTAAACCCAGATCTTTTCAGCATCAGGAGACGGCGTTGTTGGTTATAATCCAAGAACTTTAACAACCGAGAAAGGTTTTTCTTAAACATCAGTCTCTTTTATTATTCCTTACATTTTTATTTCTCCTTTCCTCTACAGAGCTCAAGGTGGCATACATGCTTCTCTTCCCTGTCTATATTCTCCTCACAACAACCCTGTGAAGTAAGCCAGGGTGAAATCTTGTTTCATAAAGCTATGATTACTCCTGGATGGAGATTCGTGGCCGGCTAACAGTGCGCATCTGACTCTCATCAGCAGGGATGGGCAACCTGTGGCCTTTCGGTTGATGCTGGGCTCTTGCCAGATCCAACTATCATGGCCAACAATCAGAGCTGTACTGCAGTAACACCTGGAAGGGCCTGGGTTCCATATGCCTGGTCAAAATAGCTGACTTTGTGGAGAGGACTCTACTATATAATGCAGAAACATGTAGGCAAGGGGTGGAGAACCTTCTCCAGATGTTGTTGGACTCCCAAGTCCCCATGAGTTCCAGCCATCAGGGATGATGGGAGCCCCACTCCTGCTCTACAGGCAAAGCCTACAGAGAGCTGAATGGCCTGACCACTCTCAGCACCGAGTTCAAATGCTCTTCCTCCAGTTGCATGACTTACCTCTGGACCAGGCTCCCAAAGAGCAGTTGCAGGACCTTCTGCATGTTCTCCGTGCACAGCCAGCTCCAGTGATCCACCATAATCAGGCGGAGGAGGTCCAAGGCAACATCCGCAAGTAATGTCTCCGACTCTGCAAAGTCAAGGTGACACAAAGGTAAGGTAAGGAAACTGCCTTGCACCACGTGAGGCCGTTTGTCCACCCATCCAGACTAGGGATGGGGAAACCTGTGGCCCTCCAGGTACTGCAGTGCTACAACTCCCATCATTCCCAACCAATGGCCAAGCTAGTGGGACTTGTTGGGACCTGGGAGTCCCAACATCTAGAGGGCCATAGGTTCCCCATCCCTGTGCTAAACCACAGTTTACTGTGACAAGTATCAGCTGCAGCAAGTGTCCACCTTTAACACCCCCTTCCCCTCACTTCTGGTCAGCTGGGGGAACTTCATAAACTTCCAGTTTGAGTTAAGGCCAGCTTTTGTGTTGTCCAAACCTGACTTAACTATGCCCGAAACAAGCTGACCAAGTTGATATGAACCTAGCTTGTTTCGACAAACCATAGTTAATGTGAGGTACCTTTCAGGATTCGGACAACGCAGTAAACCGTGGCTAGCTGAAACTGCAAGCGAAAGCTTCCGAACCGCTTGCAGCTATGGCCATGGGGAAAATGCAGCTCACACCAACTTGCTCTCATCAAGCTAAATTATGCTTTAGTGCAGGAGAAGAGAAGCATTTTTTTATCAAGCCCAACCAAAGATATGCATCTTTGTGTTCCCCTTCTCACAGGCGAGGTGTGTGTGTGTGCACACGCCTCTTGGAGGCAACCTTCTGGGGGCTGCCAGCCAGTGTAGACAATATTGAGCTAGAAGGACCAATGGCCTGACTCCAAGTAAGCCACCATCAGGACAGCTCTGCACCAGCTCTCAGGCTATTGTGAATCACCTGTCAGCAGCGGGTGGACCCAGAAGCAAACCTGAGCGGCACAACAGATCCAACGCTTATCTATCCATTGCAACCAAGCAAATGGAATAGATTTCCCCTCTCCATCCATCCACTCCAGCAAGCAGCCCCATCACAGCTCAAGGGCACATTCCAGCCAGTCAGGAGGAGGATATGGAGCAGGGCCAATGAGGGGCATGAGTACAGCTCCCAGCATTTCTTGGAGGGACAGAGGGACCAGCTATTGAGCAGCCTTAAGTCAGTGTTCAAACTATGCCATTAATTTGCTATGGCTGCCTATTCCCCATTGCCTCTGTTCCTTTAATTCATGGTGGTCCGCTGCCACCTTGTGGTAGCACCCTGAGTCAGCAGCGGAGACCATCATCCACAGAGCAAACAGCTCTGTTTTAATGACTCTGTTGCTCATCACAGCATAAGACAATTTCAGGATGGGAAGGGATTCAGGGGAAAGGGTTGAATGTGGGAGGAACAGAAGGCCAGGCCTCCCGAGAAGCAGCGTCCAACTGGGATCCATCTCTACGTTTTGGCTTCAATTACCCCACTTTGAAAAGAAACTGGTGCTTTTGAATTATGGTGCTGGAGGAGACTCTTGAGAGTCCCATGGACTGCAAGAAGATCAAACCTCTCCATTCTGAAGGAAATCAGCCCTGAGTGCTCACTGGAAGGACAGATCCTGAAGCTGAGGCTCTAATACTTTGGCCACATGAGAAGAGAAGACTCCCTGGAAAAGACCCTGATGTTGGGAAAGATGGAGGGCACAAGGAGAAGGGGACGACAGAGGACGAGATGGTTGGATAGTGTTCTCGAAGCTACAAACATGAGTCTGACCAAACTGCGGGAGGCAGTGGAAGACAGAAGTGCCTGGCATGCTCTGGTCCATGGGGTCACGAAGAGTCGGACACGACTAAATGACTAAACAACAACAACCCCGCTTTGACTCTCCTCTTCCCCGCCCGCTAGGCCACTCCAAAAGGTCAGCAGAAGAGAAGAGGTTCACATTCCGGACATCTCTGGAAAACCACATCCCAGGCATTTCTCCAGAAGAGCCTTCCCCTCCAGAAAAGTCTAACCCTGATGACCCGGTAAGAGCTGTTTGACAGGGGAACGGACTCCCTTGGAATGTTGTGGACTCTCCTTCCTTGGAGGTTTTTAAGCAGAGTTTGGATGGCCATGTGTCAAAGGTGCTTTAGTTGAGATTCTTGCATTGTAGGGGGCTGGACTAGATGACTCTCATCCTCCCTTCCAACTCTACAATTTTATGATTCTTACATGCTTCACAGTTAACTCAGGAGAGCAGGGCCTTTAATGTGGCTGCCCCTGTTCTGCGGAACAGCATCCCTGTTGAGCTATACAACAGGTGCCTGCTCTCCGTTGCTTCTGCAAACAACTGAGGACATTTTTGTTCCGACAGGATTTCCCAGCCAGATGAATGGGTCTCTGCCATGGGTGTCTGCTTCACATGGTTTTAAAATGTATCTGTTGTCATTTTCTGTGTTGTTTTTAACAGAGTTAAAGCTGGGTTTTTTTGTAATTTGTACATCGCCTGGAAAGCAATTCAGCAACTAAGTTGGGGGGGGGGAGAGGAATCCTCTAAACCCTAGAAATTATTAAATGGTAGGATTTTGATTAACTGGAGTGTTGAAGGGAAGATTACAGGCCAGTGGAAAAAGACAGGCTAAGTTTCCTTTCCAAGCCTGGGCCTCACCTGGAATAGAGGCATTAAAATGATGAAAGGTGTTGATGACCCATCTGAGAGGAATTCTTGGGCCTGGGCAGACAGAAGGTTACCAAGGTAACTGGATGTGAAGTAACAGGAAAAGAGATTCTTTAGCAAGTTGTGCTGGGAAGAAGAGGGGAGAGGAAAAAAGACCGAGATCCATCTTGGGCAGGCTGGCTGGAGGCAGGGTGGCTGAGATGCCTTGGACTCCCAGTCTATAGAATTAAACTAAATAACAAAAATCAAAAAGTTTAAGGAAAAAATTAGCCTAGAATTGAACAGAGCCTTAACTGGATGCTGGCTACAAACCTTGTTTCACTAAACTATTCAGTTTCCTCAGAAGGAAATAGAGAAATCATAAACCTTAAATGATTTTAAACAAACTCAAGAACAGGGCTGAAACGCTTCCCTGAGTTTACAAAAAAGGTATGAAAACCTCAATGACAAGTAGTAATAAGGAGTTGAGGACTCCGCTGTGAAAACTCTAGTATTGCCTTTACAAAAAGGTTTTTAAAAAACTTACAAAGGAATACGAGATAAGCTGTTTTAGATTTTAAACAAACTCAAAAACAGGGCTGAAACACTCCTAACTGCTGATGTTAAAGACTGATATAGGGTGCTTCCAATCACAGGTTTTTATACTGTAGGGTGAAAGAATTTTTAAAGGGACAGGCCATCTAGTTCAAACAAAGGGTGGGATTGCTGAGGTTTGTAAAGAATAACAAGAGTAATATTAAATAGAGTTGTAAGAAATTATTATAAGAAGGAACTAAAGTCAATATAAGAATTGAGACCTGATGGAATTAAGGAACCAAATCTAAAAATCCAATACATTTCTTTCTGTAGTAATTTCTAGTTGATTACTTCTCGTTTCAGGAATTTTCACAGTATTTCATTTGTTTTGTGCAGTTTCTTGGTTCTGTGACTGTCTTTTTTCTATTGGACTCCCAGTCTAGCTGCACTGCCGTGGGGAACAAGCCCTGCTTGAGACGACGATGCTGCAAGATTTGAACACCCTCCATGCAGACTGAAGGTGTAAATAGGTGAATAAATCATATTTCTTAAAGCTACAACAGTCTTCACCCTTGGCGGAGGGTCAAGATGCCTGGAATGCCATGCATGGCTTGGCGGGGATTGGGGTGGCCGGTTAACAACAGTAAGAGGCGAAACAGGAACAGCGTACAGGTTAGAATTTTTACCAGGATTGCTGCTGCCCTCTGCTGGCTGCTGTGGTGCCTTCATGGGCTTCCCGATGTCCAAACTGGATGCACGTCTAAAGGCATTAGGATCTCGGTCTGCCTCGCCCTCTGGGCTCTCGTCAAACACGGCCTCCATCAGCTTCTCCTGCTTCTGGATGAAGGACTCCATTCTTGCCAGGGACAAGAACTCTGAGACCTGAGAGAAGAAGGAGAAGGTCACTGCCACCGTTGCTGCCTCTCTGCCTACCTCTCAGGGTTGATGTGAGGATAAACACAGGAGGGAGTGAACCACATGCCCCACTTGGAGCTCCTTAGGGGGAAGGCAGGAGAGAAATGTAGCAAATCATAACAACGGGGCTCCTTTGAGAGTCAGGGCAGGATAGAAATCGAAAACGAAATTGCTGGAATGTGGATAACAACAAGGGGAAATATTTCACATAGAACTATGAAGACGAAAGTTTGAACAGACCAGTGGTTGTAAACATAAATGGAAATTAAGTGAAGGATTAACATCGGAATGGTTTACTGACTAATTAAGAAATGCAATGTGATATTAGATGGTTAGCACTTCGCAAAATTCAGAGCATGGGAAGTCACCCAAAGTTATATAATTTGGCAATATATTTGGTTTTTTTATTGTAATTTGGAATGTTTTAATGTGGCTATTATTGGATTATTAAAATGAAAAACTCAATAAATATTACTACCAAACATTGAAATTAATTAAATAAAAATAAATTAAATGAAGAACAATGGAGACAACTCAGTCCTGGGCTGCCTGTTGAAGCAACTCAGTGGGGTGGCTCCTGCGGGGAGCAGGGATTCATGGATAGCTCAGTTGGTTACAGCATGGTGCTGATAATGCCAAGGTTGCAGGTTCGATCTGCGTAAGGGACAAGTGCGTATTGCAAGGGGTTGGATTGGAGGATCTCCAGGGTCTCTTCTAAACTCTACCCTTCTATGATTCAGATTTTCTCAGGCATGGGTGCACACTTACAGCGGTGCCTTCCTTGAAAGAATATGCAATCTTCTCCTGCGCTCCAGGCACGTTCAGGACTGGAGCAATTTTGCTGGATGCAAATCTCAGCCTAGGCCTGTGAAAGAGAAAACCCCAGAATTTTTATTTACCTGTTATAAGCCATTTTTCCTCCAAAGAGCTCAAGGCTGCTCACACAGGCAGGTTCCTTGACTTAACTATTGGTAGCTGAATGCGTGAACTCCACTGTACCCAGAGTTATTTTACATAACGTCATAAAGGCAAGAGGAGTAAAAATAGAAGATAATAATATTAAGTTTAAAAAAGCATGACTAGCATAAAATATATTCCAATGCATCTAGTCCCCTTTTCAAGTCATTTAACCCAGCGACCAACAACATTCACTCTCACACAAATATTTCCACATGCCCTGAGTGAAGGAATGCTTTACCTGTCCTGAATCTCCTAGCAATTAATTTCATTGGGCAATCCCAAGTTCTAGTACGGCCTGGATAGTTCAGTTGGTTAGAGTGTGGTGCTGATAATGCCAAGGTTGCGGGTTCGATCCCCCTATGGGACAGCTGCGTATTCCTGCATTGCAAGGGGGGTGGACTAGATGATCCTTGGCATCCCTTCAAAATCTACAATTCTGTGATTTTGTTATGTCTCCTAGATTGTAGGTCCAAAAACAAAGACTAATTTGGTTTTCTTTAAAAAATCTGTGTACAGTGCCTAAGGATTTTTATGCATTTTATAAGGACACAACCGCAAGATTAGCAAATTGAGCAGTCATATGGGTGCACTTACATTGATGTGCTTTAGAGAAAAGGTACATGCACCTCATTACTATTGAGTTGAACCTTCAAGAATCATAGGAAAACCCTGCTAACGAAATGTTAGTGAGGCACCTGCAAAAGGCAGCAACAGGAACAAGCCGGGGGTAGTGACCAAAGGCCAGAAAAATAGGGTCTATTCCCAGTTGTGGCATCATGTAGGGTGGTCACCAAAACAAACAAACAAACAAGCATCACCAAAACAAACAAGCAATAGGACACTGATTGATATGTACAGAGGAAAACGTAGCTGAAATCTTTACTATAATTTAAACCAGTGGTATTTCCAGGGCCCTTTGGTTCCATAAACTCATTCCCAGTGCCCCCTACCCTACCTTATAAAAAGCATTATTTAAAATAGTGTTTTTGCATGACCCATGACCTGCTTGCTCAATCTGCTGTTCAGGTACTAGAACTCGATGAGCAAATTCCCAACTATGATAGATTTAATTTAAGGTACCCCTGCCCTTACGGGCCAGTCTTGACAGACTCTAGGGTTGTGCGCCCATCTCACTCAAGAGGCCGGGGGCCAGCGCTGTCCGGAGACACTTCCGGGTCACGTGGTCAGCATGACATTGCTGCTCTGGCGAGCCAGAGCCGCACACAGAAACGCCGTTTACCTTCCCGCTAGTAAGCGGTCCCTATTTATCTACTTGCACCCGAGAGTGCTTTCGAACTGCTAGGTTGGCAGGTGCTGGAACCGAACAACGGGAGCGCACCCCGCCGCGGGGATTCGAACCGCCGACCTTTCAATCGGCAAGCCCTAGGCGCTGAGGCTTTTACCCACAGCGCCACCCGCGTCCCTTTTAGATTTAATTTAGCAGACCCCAAAATAGCCCCATGGTGACTTCCAATAGTTTAAAAGATAGAAAACGGAACTCAGCACGCAATTATAACCATTCTTGAAAACTCTCTGTTTTCAGGGTTATCTTTAAACTAAACTGGAAAGATTTTGAAACAGGTGCTGCCTTCAAACATAAGGCTTTTGTGTGGACCCAGAACCAGCCTAGCTAACACTGCACTCTGCAAGGAAGCAGTTTCAGCCCCCTGATATATTAATTTTGCATTTTCTGCACCTGTTTCCATCTGCGAAATATGCTTTCTGGTAAGGGGGTGTCCAGAGCTTCATTCAAAATACAGCAGATATACAGCTGGGGGCTCCTTCCCAAGGACACTGAATAGTACACACCACACAGCTTTTGGAAGGGCAATTTAAAAGCAGGATTCCCAAACAGCCAGACACACATCTGATAACTGCAAAATCCACTGTCAAGTCTCCGGCTGTGGGGAAACTTGATTTATTTGGAAGGGGTCTACTGGCTTCCTAGACAAAGCAAGAAGTCTGATGATTGCTAAGGAATGTTCTTTCCTGCCAAGATTTCTCTAGTTTTGGAAGAATGCAATTCTCCCCGTTGGATTGCTTTCCTGAAGCGAAATCTCTTTCCAGGAATAAAAAAATGCTACAGATACCAGCACAGGGATGACAACACTCCTAATTCCAGCAAAGGCTCAGCAACGGCCTCAATCGACCTGCACGTGTTCAGTAATGGCAAACACTGAATGCCAACTAACCAGCTACTCCTCCAGATAAAGGAGCTGAGTGTCCACTGGCTTTCACGACTGGTCGCCTCCGAACAACATGTGGCGCTCAGTGGAAAACTCAGGACAGGATCCTTTTGTGCAGCCAAAAATATAACCTTGCACAGCTTGGTTTCTACGCTCAACGAGTGCCAGTTTAATCATTCAGCCAAGTCAAGTGCTAAAGACATTGCTGGATGCAAGGTGGTCCAACGCGTGGCCCAAGGGCTATATGAGGCCCTCAGTGTCTTTCTGGTGGCCTTGGGCAACATTTGATGCGCCCCCAAGCCCTCCCACTGTTTTCCTAAAGCTGGTTTAAAGTGGTGCTTGGCTTTGGGAAAGAAGCATGAGGCCTCTAACAGTGTCCCAGAGTCATCCAGCCTTCTTCCCAAAGCCTAGTGAGCACTTTCCCAGCTTTGGGACGGAGGGTGGGAGGGCTTTGGGGGAGGACACACTCTTTTCGGTACCTTATGGAACTAAGCCGCAAGTCCAGGTCCAGACGGCACGCTAAGCCAAGCTACGGTTTCCCTCGGGGTGGCAAAGCAGCACAATGGCCGCAGAGGAGAAATTGGCTGCAATCCCCTCCCAAGGGAGTCCACCCTAAATATAATAATAATAATAATAATAATAATAATAATAATAATAATAATAATAATAATTTATTTATACCCTGCCCATCTGGCTGAGTTTCCCCAGCCACTCTGGGCAGCTCCCAATCAAGTGTTAAAAACAATCCAGCATTAAATATTAAAAACTTCCCTAAACAGGACTGTCTTCAGATGTCTTTTAAAGATAAGATAGCTACTTATTTCTTTCACATCTGAAGGGAGGGCATTCCACAGGGTGGGCGCCACTACCGAGAAGGCCCTCTGTCTGGTTCCCTGTAACCTCACTTCTCACAATGAGGGAACCGCCAGAAGGCCCTCTGCTCTGGATCTCAGTGTCTGGGCTGAATGATGGGGGTGGAGACGCTCCTTCAGGTATACAGGACCAAGGCCATTTAGGGCTTTAAAGGTCAGCACCAACACTTTGAATTGTGCTCAGAAACATACTGGGAGCCAATGCAGATCTCTCAGGACCGGTGTTATGTGGTCCCAGTGGCCACTCCGTGGTTTGGCTCAGTATGATGTGTGAACCAGGCCAAAAATTCTGGGTGCATCATCTCCTCTCTGGGGCCTGCTTTCTCCTTGAGTGCCCATGCAGGCAATTCCACCCCATACCTATGTAGTCTGAAGTGTTAAAACTAGCGATGAACTTGAAATGCTTAGCGGTTTCCTCACACGAACTCTCTTGGTCATGCTTATCTAGTGACATCTAAAGGAGTGACTAAAGGAATAGCCACTCAGAAAGAAGGGCAATGTTCAAAGCTAATGGGAGAATTGGCCCCCAGCGGCACCCTTACTTGCTAGCCTTCTTCCCTTCGTTCTGGGGTTTCCCGTCCACCTCTGCCTCACTGAGCTCTTCTGTTGGGCTCTGCGGCTCAGACCGGGGGAAGGCCGTTTTCAAAGTGTCCACAATGGCGTTCATCACAATCTGCAAGAAGGGTGGGGAAAAGAGTTCAGCTAAAAAAGGGATCACAGGAGACCTTTTGACATTGCCAGGGCCAAAGTTCCGCTCTCCCCATTTTCGCACCAAATGGTTTAAATGTATGGAACTGATTTTGGGTTATTTGAACGGGATTTATTGCTCTTTTTAATGTTTTGCATTTGTGCTCTGAGCACCCTTACCTTGTCAATCCTGGAGACCACAAAGGGCTTTTTGACGAAGGCAATCCTGGCGTCTGTGTTCAGGGCCAGGAATTCTTGCATCTCCTCGCTGTTGGCAATCTCAGGAATAGCGCACAGTTGCTGGAAGAAGAAGAAGAAGAATGCTCTCGCGGTCAGTTTAGGAGCACGCTTGGGCAGACTTTAACCAGGGTTTGCCACAGCCACAACCAGCACTAGAAACAAGTAGAAGGTCCCTAAATACTGGTCTATTGTTTTATATAACAATGTAAAACAGCCAATGGTGCCTCAACCAAGCACTACCTGGTTTACATGTGGGAATATTGCACTATCTTTCCTGACTGTAACGCTAGTGGCTTCTGTCCCATTTCGTAATGCTCTTTCCATAGAATTGTAGAGATGGAAGGGACCCGATAGGGTCATCTACTGCAACGCCCTGCAAATGCAGAAATCACGGCTGAAGATGGCATCCCTGGCAGATGGCCAGCCAACCTCTGTTTGAAAACATGCCACTGCAGGACCTGTTGCATCTTGGAATTGTGGCTTTTTCACCGATATACTGGCACACTGTGCTAAATTTCATTTACACCAGTGGGTGTGGTGCAACACAACAACAAACGCCAACAGGCCACGTCACTGCCCCCCTCACCCTTTCCACAAATGCCTGCTTGTTTTTCACCATGATGACCCCATGAAAACAACAGGAAATAACTGCATGCTGGTGTACAACCCCAAACTCTGAGACTTTGCCGTGGTTTTCCAGGCTAAAGGGGCTGTGAACAGATTTTTTGGCTGGAATCCGACAACATGGAAATGAGCCATTAACGTGCACTATGTTTTCGTAAGTGGGTTTTACGCCGTGTGGATATAACACGATGCGGAAAGTTTGGGAAATGTTGGGAAATTGAATAAACTGCCGTGTGAAAGCAGCCGCAGTCATAGGTCTCTCCTAGCCTTACTACAGCGGCAGGGCTCACTCCACCCACCACCCTTGCTTTAATGGTCTGGTTTGCACAATACAATAAGCCAAACCATAGTTTAGAACAAGCTCCCAGGGAGATCATGGCCACTTTGCTCCTCCTTAGTAGTTTTGCTGTGGCGCCACACTGAGCTAAGCCAAGGTTTCGCTCAGATACAGGCTTGTGGCTAAGTACTCTCCTCACTAACCATGAGTTGTGAGGAAGAGCAAACCTTGGTTCCCCTCTGCGTGGCCCCCGGTAAACCATGGTTTGCCTTACCATGTTGTGGGAACCAAGCAACTGCCTGGAAGCCCCACTGTTTAAAACAGGGGTAGGCAACCTAAGGCCCGTGGACGGGTGCAGCCTAATCGCCTTCTCAATCTGACCCGTGGACGGTCCAGGAATCAGCATGTTTTACATGAGTAGAATGTGTGCTTTTCTTTAAAATGCATCTCTGGGTTATTTGTGGAGCATAGGAATTCGTTCATTCCCCCCCCCCCAAAATATAGTCCGGCCCACCACATGGTCTGAGGGATGGTGGGCCGGCCCACGGCTGAAAAAGGTTGCTGACCACTGGTTTAAAATGACTGAACCGTGACCCTACCGAGTTTCCTCGGCAAGGTTTATTTAAAAAGTAAAATAAACCTGCTAAGAGAAATTACGTGGCAGGAGAGGAGAGAAGAGCCTTCACCTTCAAGAATGACTCCAAGAGGCTTTTCCTGGCTTCTACTTTATCTGTGTCCATGTTACCGAAAGGAAGGTCGGGAAAGATCTTCTTTGGACCTTTAATATCTGGAAGTTAGAAAAAAACGAAGAAGTGGGAAAAACACCTTATTGCAATGCATCATTAATCCTATTAGCTTACTTGTTGCATTTATTTATTTATTTAAATATTGATGTGCCGCTTTTCCAAGGAAAAGCAATTTACAACAACAAAAACGCAACTGAAGATTTTAAAGAACGTAACTCAAACACAACAGAGGAACAGCCAGGAAAAAAACCACGATATCAAAAGAAGTTTTATCAAGCAAAGGCCTTACAGCTCTGATTACTAATAGTAAAGATAAATAAAGAAGCTGGTTATTTTCTTTTTGGGGGGGAACAGTGAGGAGAGGAAGAGAGGTGTGGCAGGCAACTGGTATGTGTGAGTTTTGCGGGCGAGAGTTCAAATTCCATCTTTGGTGGTTATCCATCACATTATCCATCACTCTCAGTCCGTGACATGAGATTTTGCAGAAGTGCAGAATTTATTTTCTCCATTTGAACTTACATCCTGCCACATTTCAACACCTTGGGTGGATAACATGATGCTAATTGTACTACTTTATCCCTTGTTACCACGAAACAGCTTGATTATTATTTTTAGATGTTATACCGCCTTCTGGAAGATACACAGAATCAGGCTCTGGAGAGTCTCCAGGAGAAGAGAATTGCAAAAGATTATTGAGCTAGATGGACTCAGCATAGGACAGTTTCCTAAGTAAAAGGACGGTCAGGAATAACACTTTGTGCATGCCTTTGAGTACCAGATTGGTACAGGAGTGGTGTACCAATCCCTGCTGGTCCTAAAGCACAAAGGAGAAATAAGAATGTTTCAGGGACCAGAAGAAAAGGTTGGTGGGTCTTCATTAGGAGCCATTTTGGACTCACAGCCGTCCATGGAGGCACAGGTCAATTCTGTGTCCTGGGCAGCTGTCTACCAGCTCCATCTGGTACGCAGGCTGAGACCCTACTTGCCCGCAGACTGTCTCACCACAGTGGTGCATGCTCCGGTTATCTCCCGCTTGGACTACTGCAATGCGCTCTACGTGGGGCTACCTTTGAAGGTGACCTGGAAACAGCAACTAATCCAGAATGCGGCAGCGAGACCATATAACACCAGTTCTAAAAGACCTACATTGGCTCCCATTACGTTCCCGAGAACAATTCAAAGTGTTGGCGCTGACCTTTAAAGCCCTAAACAGCCTCAGCCCAGTATACTTGAAAGAGCGTCTCCACCCCATTGTTCATCCCGGACACTGAAGTCCAGCTCCGAGGGCCTTCTGGCGGTTCCCTCACTGCAAGAAGTGAAGCTACAGAGAACCAGGCAGAGGGCCTTCTCGGTAGTAGTGCCCGCCCTGTGGAACACCCCCGCCCTCAAATGTCAAGGAAATAAACAACAATCTGACTTTTAGAAGGCATCTGGTTGATGTATTATTATTATTATTATTATTATTATTATTATTATTATTATGTTTGGAGCTGCCCAGAGTGGCTGGGGAAACCCAGCCAATGGGCAGGGTATAAATAATAAATCATTATTATTATTAATTCCACTATTTTCACCCAACTCCTGATTTTAGCCAACACATGGCTCCTATAATCTTCTAAAGACAGCAAAAATGGGTCTGTTACAAAATGAAGTGGGAAGAGAACGATGGGTCCCCTATAATTTGCACACTGGGTGAGAGATCTACAATTCCCAGAGTGGTTTAACAATCAATCCCTCTTCCCAGGGAATTCTGGGAACTGTAGGTCTGGAAGGGGGATATGGGATCTCCTAACAACTTGCAGCACCCTTAACAAACTACAGTTCCCAGGATACTTTGGAAGACTGTTTAAAGTGGTATTTATCCCGTTTTAAATGTACAGTGCAGATGGGACCTAAGGCCGCAATGTTATATGCACTCAACTGCAATTAAACAGGAGACTTGCCTAGGGTCACCCTATGAAAGAGCTCCTGCAGAAAGCAAGACTCAGCACTAACTTTTAATGAACTTCCGCAGGTCTGGCTTCTCCTCCAGTCTCGTTTGCAGGTTCAAGAACTCTCGATATCTCCGGTTCACGGTGTGGTAAGCTACCTGCTGGAGGCCGCTGGCATTTTCACTGTCCAAAGTCGTCTCATACTGCGGGGGGAAAGAGAAGACCACACGTCACCAAAGGAAACCACACGTAGCCAGAGACTAGACGAAAGAATTTTCATGCCACTGGATACTTTCTACATGAAAACACAGGAGACATGAGGGTCCAGAAGGAAGGTAGGGGTGGCGAGCTGGATCCAGACAACCAGATCTGTATTCCCCAACATCTCCCCATCAGTGTTAGAAACTCAGATATGTAAGCTAGACCCCAAATGGCTCCTTAGAGGAGCAGCGAAGAACGCTATAATTATTGCAGCTTGTCTTCACTTACCCCACCCCACTGCCCCGCTCAGAGTTATGAATGGTCTGTGTCACCGTTGAGAAAAAAGAGGTAGGAATAGGTTTACCAATGTCCCTGGATAAAGCAACTTTTCTTCTTTCAGCTCTCTCCAATCTTGGTTCCCCATATGTTCTTGGACCACGGCCTCTACTGTTCCCAGGCGGGATGGACAATGGGAACTATTAGCCCAACAACATCAGGGAACCCAAGGCCTGCTCTAGAGAATAGACCTTTCAAGAATTACAAAAACATTAGAAAAATGCTTGTGACCGACATGCAGGTGCATCAGATTCTGCTTACTGGCTCTGTGGGACAGCTCAGTCAGTGCACCATGAGACTCTTAATCTCAAGGTTGTGGGTTTCACCCCCCCCCATGTTGGCCCAAAGATTCCTGCATTGCAGCGGGTTGGACTAGAGGACCCTTGTGGTTCCCTTCCAACTCTTAGGATTTTACGATACCCAGAAGAGAGGAGCGACTGAGTTACCTTCACAGTATACAAGGTGTAGGGGTGGAATCCTGTCCCGCTGTGCTCTCGGGTGGTGATGGTGCCAGTTATGCGCAGGTTTTGGATGACGACAGGCCCATCGGGGCTGCTGAGCGGCTCAAAGCTGAAGGTGCCCAAGGGGGCGGTGGGGGACGAAGACAGCAGCCCTGGCAGCTGGGCAAGGTCTTGAGGGCTGTGGGCCAGGCTTTCGGAAGCCACCAGCTCCTTGTCCAGGTAGGACGGCCGCCTGAGGAAGGTCTTCTCCGAGTCCTCCAAAAGAGCCGTCAGCGAAGCCAAGGTCTCCTCCTTCTCCTCAGCGGCCTCGATCTGGATATCGGGGCAGGGGCTCAAGGAGGGGATTCGGGGCCTCATTTCGGAGCTGGACCCGGCAGCATACTCCGAGTACCTGCCCTTGGCGCCTAGGCCATCCTCTTGAAACAAGCTCTCAGGTTCCTCCAGGGCGGCGAGGGACTCCACAAGGAATTCCTCCCGGGGCATGAGCCCTGCAGAGTCCTTTCCTACTTCCGACACTGGAGACTCAACTTCCAGGTCTTCGCAGGGGAAGAAGGACTCCAGGGTATCAGGCTGGAGGCAGGGCACGGAAGAGGTGCTAACTCTCCTACTATCCAAGTCAGCACTCAGCTCTCTGCTGAAAGGCTCCCTCCACTCCAAGCCATCCAGCGCGTCTCCGATCGACGGCTCGGAATTCCTCGGGGAAACTGTCCTGTTCTCCGGGGCGGCTTCCAACAGAAAGGCCAGCGGCAATGAACTGGGTACCGCAGGCTGGCATGGAGAAAGGGCTGGCGCCGTCTCCGGCTTCTCATTCCCTCCCGCGGCTTTGATCTTGGAGAAAATCCCAATCAGCAGCAGGTTGAGCCAGTCAGGGTCCGCCATCTTGTTGATCATGGGCAGCAGCACATTGCAAGTCACCAGCTCCACCACCACAAAGCGCCCAGTCCTGGTCTCCAGGTGCGGCTCAGGCACCAGAACGTGCAGGAGCAAGTCCACGATGCGCCGAGCATAATCCACCTCGCTGGCGGGGCTCTGGACAGCCATGTGGGGGTCTGACAGTTCTGAGTACGCTCGCCATAGGTGATCGGCCCTCTGGGCAGGGTCTCCAGAGCTCTGCCCCATCTCCGCTTTCTCGCGGGCTTTCTTGTAAGTCTGAAGGTGGCAACCTCCAAGCAGGAGCAGCTTCTGGGTCAGAGCCTGTTTGTCTATCAAGGCCATCCGCCTCTTGAGCTCCACAGCCAGGCCCATCATGGCCTTTTTCACCTCGTCCTCGAAGCCCCGCTCGCTGCTCACCGACCGATACCAGGAGGACACGAAATCCCGAACGATCTTCCCAATCATGCCCTCAATCTCCTTGTCCAGCTGCTGCTCTGCGTCGGGGTTCGGAGGGCTGCTCTCGAGGAGGAGGAACCTCTCCAGGTGGACTCTGCTGGTGGTCCCAATCACCGCCTGGGAGCCCAGCCAGCCACCCAACACCGCCAGCAGCCCCGAGAGGATACAAAGCAACCAGACATTGACCAGCAAGTGGACGACCAGCAGCCATCCCAGAACAGCCCCCACGGCTAGCAGCTTCCGGCTGCCCGTCATGTCGCCTAAGCCAGCACCCGGATCGCGGATCCTTAGCATTTTCTGTCTCACCCCCCAAACTTCTTCCTATTTAATAAAATAGCATGGCTCTCTCTTGGCTAGCGAAGGCTTGGATTGAAATAGGCATGCTTATTATTTTCAACATTAGTGCTCACATATTTACAGCAGCGTGGATGCTGCGATTGCCAGAGCAAAGGCTTATTAGTTCAGCCACTTCTTTCCAGTGAATAAAGCATTGCTATCAAAGAAAGCTCGCCCAAGCTGGATTTGAAGAAGCATTTCTTTCGATTATTATTATTGTTATATTCGCTAATAGATTTAAAGCAGCAGGGAGCCTGCAAGTGCCATCCGGCTTCAGGGCAAAGCCTTATTTAAGCTGCCTGGAAAGGCTGACAAGCCAAGCGGAGCACGGGGGAAAGTTGCAAGGCAAAGAAAAAGGACAAGAAGAAGCACGCAAGCTGCAAATGCAAAGCGTCCTCTCCCGCGCTCGGTATTTGCGAGGTAGAAAGAAATCCCCGAACTTCTTTTCCCCCTTGAAGCAACCCCGGGGAAGGTGGCGATGGGAGGGCTGCTGGTTTTCGCGAAGACCGACAAGGCTGCTTTCTTGCGCAGCTAGACGTTCAACGCCGCCTCTCCCTCCCCGCTTCGCTTTGCAGCGCGCAGAGCCTGTCCCTGGCGCGCGACAGGTCAGTCCCGGGGGCTCCCCAAAGCGCGCGCCCAGCTTCTCGCCGCGCCGGCCCGCCCGGGTCAAGGCAGGGCGGCGCAGGAAGGCTCCGAGTCCCGGCCGGGCTTCCGGGCGCTTCCTGGGTCTCGCTGCTAAAGAGGCGTCCGGACAGCGAGGCGGAGCGGCAGAGCCACGGCGGAGGCGGCAGCAGTGCCATCTGGCGACCGACGCCCGACGCTGGGAAGGTCTGCTCCAAACCAGCCACATTTTTCATTCAAATACTGTACCTCTCTCTCTCTCTCTCTCTCTCTCTCTCTCTGTGTGTGTGTGTGTGTGTGTGTGTGTGCATCCATATATATGGATGGTTTGGAGGAGACCTGTCCTTCGGCTTAGAATAGAATAGAAGAGGGGCGGGGGGGGAAAAGAAAAGAAAAGAAAAAAGAATAGAAGAATTTTGTGTGTGTGTGTGAATTGTAAAATTGCATATATAATATTATATGCATTTAATTTCATATCGGTAAGATGAGATTCTGTTGAGAAAGAGCATGCAAAAGTAGTCAGACTCATCTCCTTGTTAAGTTAGTGTTTCCAAGCCAAAGGTGTGTTAAGCATCTCTTTGCAAGACTAAAGAGTGCAGGAGGTGACGGGTTGCCCCAGAGAGTACTAGCTGGAGCCAGCTAACTTAGGCAAAAGGGGGCAGGTTTTCTGCCCTCCCTTGACTGGAGGTGCATGTAAATATGAGTGTAAAAGAGCAATTGATCAGGGGTCCTCTTAGCTGGGGCTGAGAAGAGGCAAAGAAGCTTGGCTTGTAAGGTAAGGTAAAAGGTAAAGGACTCCTGGAACGGTTAAGTCCAGTCAAAGGCAACTATGGGGTTGTTGCACTCATCTTGCTTTTCAGGTCGAGGGAGCCGGCATTTGTCTACAGACAGCTTCCCGGGTCATGTGGCCAGCATGAATTGTAGAGGGTCATCTAATTCACCCCCTGCAGTGCATGAATCTTTCACCCCCAGGTGGGGCTCTAACCCAAGACCCTGAGATTAAGAATCTCATGCTCTACAGAGTGAGCTATCCCAGCTGGGATATGCGTGTAGGCAGGTGCTCCCCCCCCATCAAGTAAATAAAAAAATAATACTTAACTAACTGACCAATTGTGTTGCAGATAACTCAGTTCTTCCTCCCCCTCAACATTATGCCTGCCCCCCCCCCGAAATCCTGGCCTCACCCATGCATATATCACACCTTTTCCCTTGACAGACTCAATGCGGCTCACATATAAGATAGAAACTTCTAAAAACATTGAGGTGTGTGTGTGTGTGTGTGTGGAATCTTTAAAATACATTACAGTGGTACCTCGGGTTACATACGCTTCAGGTTACATACACTTCAGGTTACAGACTCCGCTAACCCAGAAATAGTACCTCGGGTTAAGAACTTTGCTTCAGGATGAGAACAGAAATCGTGCTCCAGTGGCGCAGCGGCAGCAGGAAGCCCCATTAGCTAAAGTGGTGCTTCAGGTTAAGAACAGTTTCAGGTTAAGAACAGACATCCATAATGAATTAAGTTCTTAACCCGAGGTACCACTGTAACAGTAATCAAAGCAATGCGAGAGGATGGGTGGGTGGGATCTATTAAAACACAGAGATCATTACAAGAAAAGCACCACCTTTTACTGATTTGTTAAGAAAGGAACAAAACGTCCAAACATAACAAAAACAAAGAATTAAAAAAATAAACCATATAGCATCACAGCCTGGAAGTATTTTATTGATTTGCTAACATCAACAATAAAGTGCAAATGTAACAAAAGAAAGGAAACAACTAATAAAAATGTAAAAAAGCGTAGCAGCCTGGAAGGACAAAAGTACAAAGATACAGCACAGATCCAGAGGGATAATATAGTATTAATTCATACAATGGTTCCCTTTACAAATAATAAAGACCTTTTTAAAAACAGTATTCTTCAATCAACGAGTCCCATCATCAGTACAGTGGTACTCGGGTTAAGAACTTAATTCGTTCTGGAGGTCCATTCTTAACCTGAAACTGTTCTTAATCTGAAGCACCACTTTAGCTAATGGGGCCTCCTGATGCCATCACACCGCCGGAGCACGATTTCTGTTCTCATCCTGAAGCAAAGTTCTTAACCCGAGGTACTATTTCTGGGTTAGCGGAGTCTGTAACCTGAAGCGTATGTAACCTGAAGCGTATGTTACCCAAGGTACCACTGTATTGGGAATAAAGATTCTATACAGTCTTAAATGAGCCAGACATGAAAAGCATCTGGAGGGAGGCCTGGCAGTGAATGGTGGTATGGCCAGGTCAGGGCAGTGAGGGGACCTTCCAAGCACCTGGTGTCTTGGGCCAATGCTGGATTTGGTGGTTCTCTGGCTGTTTCACTTCCCTTTGTCCCTGAACACAGCAGCGCTGATCTAAAGCAGAGGACAGCCCTTTCCTTTAGCCCCTTAGAAAACCCAGGCCTTCCCACTATCTTATCTGGTCGTGTCCCAGCCCATTTTGAGCTGCAGAGTTCAGTCCTTATAAACAAGGAAGCGTTGATTTAAAAAGCACCCTTGAGCATGTACAGAGCGCCTTCTCCCGTGAGCAGCCACAGCCTTTGACTTACTGTGCCTTGAGACACGAGGACACAGCTTCCTGCCCAAATGTCGGCTTCTTTGCAAGTTGCGGATCCAGCAAGAGCCAATCTCGCTTGGCTGCGCATGAGAAGTTACACCTGCCGCAAACTTCCTTAAGGCCCTTTAGTGATGCAGCTGGGGTGAGATTTGAGACTGGGGACTTCCAGACTTATCACTCCTGCTCCAAGCTGCTGCACAGACCGCCACTGCCTCTCCTAGGAGCTTGTTAAGATGATTATTTTATTTTATTTTTGGGTGGCCGCGGGTGGGGGCTAGCAACAGCAATTCAGCTGAACGTGTTATACAATCTTGTGCAGAAACTCCCTGGAAAGTCAGTGCCAGAGCACATCAAGTGTGAAAATCCCGCAGCCTCATCCTCCCCAAGGGAGGCTATTCCTAGCCAGGAGGGGGGGAAAGCCCTTTCCTTTTGCTGGAAAACTACCTGTGACTTTTAGGAAAGAAGGCTGGAATTGGGGTGGGGTAGAGGGATGGAGTTAAAGAGGGCACTTTTGTTACTCAGGGGCAAGAAAGGGATTTCCAGGGGATTTTTTTTTAATGGTTTGCACCTATTAAAGCTGTCTCAGAGTTTCCACATCGCTGTATACAGCGCACTGACAGGCAGTCCCAGGAAGGATTCTAAGCACCAAAAGAACATCAGGAAAAGTCACCCCAGCACTATTAGACTAGGGACAGAAGAACAAGAACCTGCGCTGTTCTGCCTGGGAAAAGGTACTGTACATTTTCTTGGGAATGGGCCACAGCTCGGTGGGAGCGCATCGGCTTTGCATGCAGAAGGTTGCAGGTTCAGGCCCTGGCATTGAGGAAGCTGATGCGGTTCCAGAAGCACAGGTCAGATACCCACCCAGAACCAACATAAGCATTCCACCATTATGGCTTTCCAACTCTGCACAGAGTCAGGAGGTTCCTGGGGTAGCGCCGACCCTGCGAGGTAGGACAGCTGTTCCATCTTAAACTAGATTTACGTATGTATTTGTAACTGAATTACCATTTAAAAACCCAGCCAGATGGGCGGGGTAGAAATAAATTCTTCTTCTTCTTCGTCTCCTCCTCCTTTTAAGCCTGCCTGAACAAAGCTGCTGTATCTGTTACTCTTCCACAAGTATTCTGAGTGCATAAATGCTATCTTTTTTACCTTTTACAAGACTGTTTGTGTGATTATGGTTTAAAGGCAGAAATAACAGGTGAATTCAGTCTGCCTTAAAGCATCCTGGATTACAGAAAATAAAAGGCTAAAACCAGCCTGACTAAGCTTCCCTTTTAAGCTGCAAAGGGATAGCACTCTGCTGAACTCACAAACGCAGGGAAGGAAGGCTAGTATCTCATAAAGATAGATATCCTCTCCTCTATTCACATCCCAACAGGCATCTCCAGGTAGAGTTGGTAATATCCATTGCCTGAAACCCTGGATTGCCTTTGCTGCCAGTCCGTGTAGGCATTCCTGAGCTGGATGGAACAACAACTGGACTCAGCCTAGGCAGCTTCCCCTGCAGTTAAACAGAAGGAATTTGCCTCTTGAGCATAAGAATGAAGGCCTTATTCTAAGTTAGACCGCTACAATGGTACCTCGGGTTACAGACGCTTCAGGTTACAGACTCCGCTAACCCCGAAATAGTACCTCAGGTTAAGAACTTTGCTTCAGGATGAGAACAGAAATCGTGTTTCGGGGGTGCGGCAGCAGAGGGAAGCCCCATTAGCTAATGTGGTGCTTCAGGTTAAGAACAGTTTCAGGTTAAGAACGGACCTCTAGAAGGAATTAAGTACTTAACCCGAGGTACCACTGTAGTCCAAACAGCTTGGTATTGTTAGCACTTAGGGGGGTGATTCGGTTCATGTCAAAAGGCAAACTGTACCTGATTTGCGCTTTCCAATGCAACTCGCAAACAAAACCGAAGCACAGTCGTCCTTTAGCATTTTGTACTTCTCCAGATGTTGCAATGCGGTCCTGCAGCCAAGCTTATGTACGCATGAGGTTAAAGTGTGTCTATAAATGTATACCTATAAATTTATTAAAACAGCCTTTAAAATTACACCGTATATGGTGAAATGGCTTTGCAGAAATGGGTATATTAGGCAAAATTGCCCCCCCCCCCAATCCGTGTAGTAGGAGAAATCTGTGCTGAAATTCTAAACAGTTTTCATGAGGTCTTTTAAAAATAAATCACTAACTGATGTGGAGAACTTAAGAAAATGTGGAGAACTGCACTTAAGATTGGGGGGGGCAATACAATGAGGGAAACCCAGTGTTGTTTTTTTCTGGGGGGATGCAGGGGGATGCATACCCCTAAACATTTTGTGAATTTTTGTACTTTTGTCCATTTAATGTATTTATTTTTCCCGATTTGCACTATGAAATGGTGATTTTCTTGAGTCAAAATGAGAGTACCCCTAAACATTTTTTTAGAAAAAAAGCACTGGGGAAACTCAGATTTGTCCATTTCTGTCAACTCTGACTGACTCCAGGGATGGTTGC